GAGAGAGAGAGAGGAGAGAGAGAGAGAGAGAGACGAGAAGAGTGAGAGAGAAGAGAGAGAAGAGAGAGGAGAGAGAGAGAGAGAGGAGAGAGGGGGGGGAGGAGAGAGAGAGAGAGAGAATAAATAACACGAAATCTACAAGGGATTTAAACGACTCTTCCAAAAAAAAAAAAAAAAAAAAAATGAAAGCGGGAATAATCGAATAATGTCCAGTGCTATAACGAAATAGGCTACCAATGCTTCTAGAAAAAAAAACATGACCTGTAATTGGCTGATGAGTCATACCGGTGGAAGTTTGGCGGAATTTCATTGGCTGCTGAAGGGCATATAGGAGAAAGATCGCTTATTATTGGGTGAAAGAAAGGGATGGAAATGATGAGTGAAAATAAAGAATGTATTCTAATCGGAGCAGGTGTTAAATATGATAATAATAATGATTCTAATCTTTGCTTCAAATAAGGATAAAACAAAGGAAAAGGTTCATCGTATCCTTTGCCAAATAATAGAAAGATGGCTCTCGGACGCGGCGACGAAAGAAGAAGGCCTCTCATTGGCTACAAAGGCACGGTAGCTCGAAAGGTGACCTGTCATTGGCTACCAAGGCAGACCGGAGAGAAAGAAGGCTTCCTATTGGTTAGAAATAGCCAACTGAGAGAAAGACGCTTTGCTATTGGCTGGAAGGGTTTAGAGAGAGAAAGATGACTGCTATTGCTTCTGGAATTGGAGGAAGAAATAGGACTTGAGACTTGGGAAGTGATGAAAGGAATTAAAGTGAGCGGGGAAGAAAAGGACGGGGCAAGAAGTAGAACAATAGAGGTTGAGAAATGAACTACAGGAGCAAAAATCGATTAGTGTTTCCCCTGCTTAGAGACCTTAGCACTCGTTTGACAAACATATAAGCCAATACATAGACTGATAAATAGATAAATACGTAAATAAATAAATAAATATACGAAAAACCTTATCAAGAGACGTTTGAAAAATGCATAAACATAACATAAACGACCAAAACGCAAACCAAAACAAAACAAAGTAAAAAAAAGAGTAGGAAATAACGCTCTTGAAAAATAGGATTGTATAAAGACATAAAATGCAAAGGAACTTGAGATGGTGTGATGTTGTCATGATACCCTCCTGAACCCTTGCCCTCCGGCCCGTTCATACACGCACATGAAGACACAGGCAGGTACGTACGCATGTGCACACACACTCACTCAGTTACTGACTAACTAGCTGGCTCACTGGATAGATGGATGGATGGGTGGATGATGATGGATGGATGACTGACTGACTGACTGACGACTGACTGACTGACTGACTGACTGACTGACTGACTGATGACTGACTGACTGACTGACTGACTGACTGACTGACTGACTGACTGACTGACTGACTGACTGACTGACTGACTGGCTG